TAGCTTTTCTACCTCACTTTTCCAGAAAACTGCACTTCTTTATTTTATTCTATCTGCCAGCTTCCAAGTAGGCAATACATTGAGCCTCACTAACAATAAAAGACAATTTTGTGTCAGGCACAATGAATACCCTTTTAAGGTAGAATATTGAGAATGAATTAAGAAAGCTGGAGATTAATGAGGATTTCCAGCAAGACAGTTTCAACCTTCCATAATGAAATGTGTGGTAACACAGCAAAAAGTTACTTGTAAAACTGGTTGCTTTCTTTTTACACTTTTCAGCATAGCCTTTGAATCATTATAGACTTCTTTTCTAATGCTTCTGATATTAGTGTTGATTTCTTTTGCTCTTTTAGCTTAAAAGATTATTTGTTTTTTAATTCAAGAAATTAATGAGAGTTCAAATTAGACATCTGCTTCTCTAAGTTCAGTCCAGATCAATGGTGAGTATGTACCACGTGTAGCTAGTTAGTGCAGCAGGACTGAAAATCAGCCCAAAATCCAGTTGAGTGGAATGTGTAAGGATCTTACCTTCCTCATACTTACAGGACTTGCTGCCCTGTCACTGTGCAATCTTCCATACAAATATAAGAAAAAATATCCCCAGCCCTCTCTCCTCCCAAAATAGTGGCTGTTCACATGAAATCACTGTAATTAACAAGAATGTGCATTTAAAATAGCATAAAGTTGTGCTGATTATTTTAATTTATCAACAAAAATATTCCTCTCAAATGCCAGGTCTGAGCGGAACATTCTTAAGAAGTAACAAAAGAAGTTTGCTCAAATCAAAGTAAATGTGCAGATGTCCTTGTTCATTACCAAAGTCAGCTTTGAACAGATCAGTCTTTAGTGCAGAGACCTGAGGAACACATTGACACCAAAATGCATCAAAATGTTCAAAATGGATTTCTAAAAGTCAGCCTCCATTAAATGCAAGTAAATTTAAGAACTAATTGGATGGGGAAGGGGGTAGGGGTGGATCCAGTGCCAAAGCACACAGGTTTTTTAACTGTCAGGCTACAAAACCATTTACACAAATTGTGTACGAGTGAAGTTACACAAATCGTAACAGATTTCAGAAAAATAATGTGGCAGAAATCTGTAATTAACATCCAAGTAGAACAGGAAAGTGTTAAGTAGACACCACCTGCCTTACACTGTTCAGACCCATCTGCTTTCTGTTGTGCATACGCAGCTGTATATTGTGCACACAAAGCTCTGCACACTAAATTTGAAGAGAAATCAAGGAATTCACAAGGCAGTGAATTAATAAAATGGGAAGAGCAGAGACTCAAAAAAAAAATGCTTAGGAGCCTGATAACTCTCCCAGGCTGCCAATCCAGAAATGAATTACATTAGTAAGGTATTGTTGATATTGCCAAAAACGAGAGTTAAGTGATGTAAGATGCCAAGGCAGGAACGTAAAAAAGAACAAACTAGAGTTAGATTGAAAAAAATGCTTCCAAGTGTGCAAAAAAGTGAAAATCTTTTATTATCCAGTGCCTGAGGATGAAAGAACATACCTGTTATTTCCTTGATCTATTCTTACTTCTTTTAGACCTTAATGATTTTAAATTGCAGCAACCCAACCTCCTCCAAAATATCCTTATTAAAGCTCATCCTTTCTGAAAAACAACGGAGTCCACTGAAGCCATCAGTGGCTCAACTGCTTATAGCATGAATATTTTTTTGAAAATATTAATTTCAAAATAAGCAACACATGGAGCAGAAAGAGAAGGTATTTTTTTTCTGAAAATATAACATGTTCATATGCACAAGGAGGAACCTGACAAATGCAAAAATAGAGTATAGTGTATTAAAGCTGTAGCTCTGGGTAGGACTCTTACCCTCACCCCTCTAAATCTGTGGGACATGACTGTCTTCAAAGCATTGACATTTGAGGTGCTTGTAAATGAGCTCATAATTAGAGGCAGTTTCATTACTGCAGCAAGAGATAATGAAAGTATATGTGCTTCTGTAAGGGCTCCATCTGCTATGAAAAGATGCTACAAAACTGAGGTTGGTTTATCAGCTGTAATGCAGAACAGGTTCAGGCATTAGTCATAAAATGTTAGTGTATCTATTTTTAACTACAATTTAACATAGCCAGCTCACACAGATTAACATCTGCATATTGGATGTGATATTCTTGCTAAAGCAGTGTTAGGCTCTCCCTAATTGTCAGATGTACACAAACACAAATCTTTGCCACAACCAGTCTCTCAGGCAACGGGATAAAATAAACCGGGCACTGAACTAAGGGAACTGAAGAGGCTTGGGTATTCATCTCAACTGCACACCGGTATGCTTCAGGATCTCTAGTATACACTTAATGAGCTTGGTGCCAAAAAAAAAGTATTTTGGGGTATCCACAACACTTTCCCCTTTATTATCAGAAAAGAAGCAGAAATTTAAAAAATCAGTTCAGTATTGAAAGCCTGCCTTAGTAATTTAACAACATAAAACAATGAAGTCTTCATGCATAATTGTAACAACTTACACGACTTAAAAAAAATAAATCTGCAGCATCTTTGCTGCTCATCACCTCTGATATGGAACAACTTTGCTTTTTTATCATCAGTAACATAAGCTTAATTGAATTTTTAATTAAATCAATTCAAAGCAGACAAATGTACCACCTAAACACTGTCAAATGCTTCTGCTGTTCATGACTGCTGAAATATTTCGTGTGCTCTGGAAATAGAGACCCCTTCACAGACTTGCATAATCCCCTGGAGAGGAATTTTTCTGTTTGGTAAAATACAATCTAAGCAGTACGGTTTACCTTAGCCCAGTTCTATCTTATCAGCAGTTACCCTTACTTGGAAAAAAGAATAAGGATTTGGCTTTGCAAGCAAACACTTCATAGGTCAAGTATTACACCAGCATATAAGGCTCAGCATTAAAATAATAAATCCTTTTTAATTAGAAAACTGAAGACATTTCTTCTTCGCAATCTAGCATCACATCACTACATTTTGCTCATGAGAACAAAGTTTACAGTCATAAGTTGCACATAAAGGGTTTATTTTAAATGTTTTAAGGATAGAGTTACATCATAATTATAAAAATTACTTACAGAATTAAGTAACAGATTTAAAGTGTGTATACTTCTAAATGCAGAGAACAGGGAACTGTCTACATTGTTCAAAATAAAAAAAAAATAATGAAACCAAGATCTAAAGATGAAGTCATTACCTAATTTTAAGATGTGAACACGAAGACCTTTGAACTATACACATACCAAGAACCATTCAAATTGCACTAATGATGTAAAATACAAAAAGCACAGCATTTTCAAGGAACCAGAAACTGTTTTTACCATAACTCTTTTCCCTGAAGCAACTAGTCAATTCTACCCAAAGATAAAGCCTCCACTTTTAAATAATTCACTTAAAGGCTTTTACCTGTTGCAATAAAAAGGGTTTTCCCCATAGTCTACTCCAACATAGTTTAGGGTTTGGCACTCAAAAGAAAGAAGAAAAATGTAGTGTTTTGCTAATCAACTGCAATTTTATTTTTTCTTTAACAGAATACATGGTCCCTTCAAATGCTGTGTGACACATACAACTGGAAATTACCTTCCGTTGGCACTATGCTCGTCTCACCGGTGCATTTAATCCTACTAACAACCATTAAAACAGCACAATAAGCAAATTCACAAAAAACTGAACACAAAATAAAAAAAGAACAAAACAAAAACCTAAACACTTTAACATGCAACTTTAGTTTGTTACATTGAATGTTCTAACCCTCTAAGCATGCAAAAAAGGATGGTCTGCATTTGTTTTTTTTTTCCTTTCAAAAAGTTTTACATGGCAGCATGACATCACACACACGCACACACACAATATACAACAATACTACAGCAGGTAAATGTGGAAGGCGAATAATTTTTATACAAAGATCCATGGCTTGTGCCATCACAAGCCCTGTGTGATTTTGGAAAGTAATGTTGAACCCCTATAACAAGGAACCAACATTTAGTTACCAGGGTAACGCAAGCACTGCATGCAGATCTGAAACATGAGCCTAAAACAAAGCCCAAAGCAGATGGGCAGGGAGTGGAATTAGTCTCAAGCCTCAAATAGGTGGTTTAAGCTACCAAAAAAAAAAAAAAAAAAAAAGGGAAAAAAAAGGGCAACTTTCTTTCTTTTATTTTTTTATTAATTGACCATTTTGCCATTTAGTACAGGAAAGCACAGAACACAGTCAGCAATAGGCGTAATAGGATCATTTCCTTCTTGAATTGCTGACTTGTGTTAAGATTAATTATGCTTGCCTGCTTGGAGTGCTTTCAGGTAAACAATTGGAAAGTTCTTTATCAGCTCCTTGAAACGTTTTCATAGGATGAGGAGTGTGTGAAGTGGAAGTATGTTAAAAGTCCTGGTGGGCGAAAAAAAAAAAAAAAAAAGAGGAAAATAAAGATGAAAAGAAATACGCACGCGACAGACAAGGGGGACGTCTAAAAACAACCGTAGAATTTACAGATTATAGATTATACTCTAATTGGCAGAATATGTGGTGTATTCAAGAGGCTTGCAGAAAACCCACAAATGCAAGCCTGATGCTAAAAATGTTCCAGTAGACCTAAACCTCCGATATTTCAAAACAAACCGTGTATTCCTCAGATATATTGCCCAAAATTCAGTGTACTAGGTTATTCATGTGTTTTGTGTATAATCAACACACTCACTTATTCTTGTGCCACAAATACCAACTTGGGCTCATGGAGCCAGGCTCAGCTTTGAGATTTACATGCAGGACTCTTAAGAGTCAATAGAAAACACATAACAGATCTGCAGGATGAAAACACTGTGTTGCAAATCTGCTCACTTTGTTCAAAACACAAGGAACATTTAGGACTCAGGTACTTAGTGCTTAAGGACTGCATTGAGAAGCTATTCACTGAAAGACAATAGCCTGCCTTTGGTTGCCCATGATGAAATACTGGACATAATGCAATATAGTAGCAATAGACAAAGAATTAAGGTATAATATTTATATGGAGAGTATTTATTACCATTCAACAGCATAATGAGGCACAAGCCTTAAGGCTAAAATATGAAATCAGGCAAAAATTGAACAGAAAGGGGCTTAAACCACTGAGTTTTCAATACCAAGAATACCCACAACAGAGGTCATCCAGACCTCTAATTTCTGATTAACAGCACCTCTCCTGGACCCTTCCACTAATGGCATACGGTTGCATATCAGAGTATTTGTTCCTTCCAACAATAGTGTTGACTGCCATCACATACTGTATTTCTGTGAAGCAGTTCTTTGAAACTTGCAGAGCTCTGCCTTAACGTAGTATGTCAATTTTGTTGCTGTGCTGATCGTTGTTACAATTCTGACACTTTTAAAAGCTGCCACACTTAAAAAATCCTTAATTTTCATTTACAACTATCTTGCAAGATTAAAACCGTGCAAGGATTTTGCTGTTGTGGGCTGCTATTTACATCCACAATCTAATGCAGATGACTGAACCACTGAGACTGCCTATAGCTTCCATTAGATAGTACACCACTGCCATGCAGAACTCTAGTGTTCGTAAAATGAAATTCACATTAACAGCATACCTCAAAGCAAGTACAGTGCACACCACAAAAGGCAACAACAGGTTTAAGCTGTAGATTTGTCCAGACACTCCTTATGTGGAAAAGCCAGAAAAAGAATAAATTGGGAAGATGCCTTCTTGAACTAAAATGGTTAAAAAGAAAACCAACCAACCAAAGGAATACAACGGCTGAGCAGAAGGCAACAGACTCTTCTCCTTGTCTAAAGTAAGTCTTCAATGAAAAAGGACACCTCTCCCCACCCCCCTGGCATGAGATTGTATTTACCATGTAAAATATTAACTACTGTAAGCCTTCTAAGTCCACACGTAAACATTCAGGTTGCTAGGTTTTGATATTAAATGAGAGACTACTGATTGCCAATGCGTAGTCTAAAGTCTTCTGAAATAGCATATATATTATTAAAGTTGTGGCACCAAGCACTTGGGTTTTGCTAAGAAGTGTGTATAACAAAGAAAGAAATACAACATTAGGATTGAAGGCAGCCTTGTTGTATTTTACTGGTTCCTACAAATTATAAATATGGACCATTAACCGGCATTTTCTAATTAACTGGTTATACAGATTAAATATATTGTTATAGTTAAAGCCTTTTCACTGAAAGGTGTGCAAGTCAAACACTTGATATCCTACTGCCCTGTGACTAGTAAAGATGCACAAGTATTTCCATGTACTGCAAGTTCTTGAAAAGCTAAATTTGAAATAAAGTGTAGAAACACAGCAGATTGATGTTACTTGGTTTAGGCACTCCTCAATGCTGCACAAACTGTTTAAACCTTTCAGAAAAGTCACCTCTGTCTCAACCCTGAAGACAAGGACTGCCAATAGCCAAGAAATTCAATTTAATGTTACAAAAGAAGGCATATCAAAATATCATACTACACTTGCATGTGGCAGTTGAACAAGTGAGTGCAAGGTGGAAGTAAAAGTTAAAATCTATGAAAAAATTTAGATTAATGATTACAATACTACATCAACTTTACACAGCTTGAATTTGCAGCTGTTATTTGCTTTTAACTCCCTCCTGCCCAAATACATTGACTTCCTTCAAGAAAAGGAGTTCTCTTACACAAAATTGTTTGTTTATATTATTCTGAATAAAACAGTTTTGCTGGCAGAGATTGTGGGTTCGCAGGGACATTTAAGCTTTCATTAAACTGGAAAGCATTCAAGTCTTTGTGTCTACAAATTTTACATTTAATAGTTCCACAAATTTGGCAAAAGTTCACGATGACGTCTAGGATGTCTTCACCAAATCGTAGACATAAATATGGAAATCATCATCAAACTTGATGAAATAGACAGATGGTTTGGCTTCAACCTGATGAATGACCATGCCAGTCCTTTTTGAGCCATCTTCTTTGGCATATTCCACTTGTTTGCCTACCAGGCTGTCCACAACTTCACCTGGTTCCCGTTCTGCAGGAGGTGAATCATCTATAACACAAAAACCAGGATACTTTGGTAGACATTAATGGAATATTAACATTAACACAGAAGACAACTGTAGAGTATTCTTTAAAATTCATACAAAACAATCAGAAGTTTTAAATACAGAGCATGTAGAAAATTAGTTTTGTTCAGACAGGCACCTGACAATTGCCATGCTTCTAGAAAGTACAGTTGCAGAAAAATTTTCAAGTAGTATTGTCTTCAGCTTTATTAAGACAAAATTAGCACTTTGATTAGTAAGAGAGCAAATCTTTTGACACAAAGGTTTACGCACAAGTTACAGAAAATGTCTATGGATAATAGAATTTAAGCCACCAGCAGAAAAAAAGCACTGGGTATCCTTAGCAGAAAGGCAGCCAAATTAACTTCCCTCTTTCCATACACATTATTCAAAGTTTCAGTGCATGAATGCCACTTTAACAAAAACATCTAAGATGATAGTACACGTAAACTCCTTATTAAAAGGGGTGTTTGACTCCATATTGGAATAATGCTGTTGGTAAAGTCTAACCATATTATGTGCTTATCTAGCAAAATCTAGCCAGAAACATCCCTGTATTTTAGATAATGCCTATGCTAAATTTGGATGCAAAAAAGGCATGATTTGTGATGCGCCAGTTGCCAAGAGGCTGGTTACAAGACAAACACAGAACAAATGTGAACACTGTACTGGAGAACCTAACCACACTTCCTTTCTCAGCTTGTCTTCTTTTTGACTAGTTTAGAAAACTTGTGTTTTGGATACCAGTGAGGAAATCTTCTTAGTAATGGTGACACCTGATGTGGCTTTTAGTCTGGAAATCCTAAGCCATTAAATAAATGTCTTTGTTCCAAGGTTGTGGTACTTTGAAAAAAAAGAAAAAAAAGGGGGGGGGAGTAATCAAACATTAATATGAAAAGCTGCCACTTTCCGGAAGTAACTGTCCTACTTACTTGAATCAGGCATAATGCGAAGGTCACCTTCTTTATAATCATCTAAGAGTTGGTACATGTACAAGACAGGATCTTTCTCATAGGTAATATAAAACCATGTGTTCATAATGGGAGCTCGAGCCAAAACCATCCCCCTCCATTCATCTTTTGAGCCGTCTTCTGTCTCAAACATGTGTTCCACTGCTTTACCAATCATCGTGTCTGCCAGATGGGCATCACTAATTCGAGATGAAGCTGAAATGACAGCATTTCATAAGTTCATCCAAAAGCACAGATACACGTCCTTGTGAAAAATAATCTTTACCCTGATTCATAAAAAAATGAAATAATTGGAAGTCAGTCAACTTATACACAAAAAAACTGCAGAACTTTAGAAAAGTTGTTAAAATAACAATATATCATTGTACTCCCTACGATTGAACAATCATAATGCAAAGTAAAGGGAGATCAATCAAGGCCACTGCAGTGAATATTCTTTATATTTTGTTTACTTATACACTGGAGGGAGCAAGGCAGGCAGGGAAGAAGGGGAAGAGAGGCCAATTACAAACAGTTCTATTAAGTTACTAATGAAACTTTGGGGTTTGGTTCCCCTTAATGTCACTCTAGAGGCTGCTACCAATTGCTTTACAGTCAGAAGAAGGAACAAGCTTATTCTATTTGTAAACCAGTAATCACTTGGGTTAATATTGAAGTTTGCAGTTTGAAAAACCTGCTGTTTAGCAATCCAGTGGTAACTCTGAAAAATCAAAAAGCCTTGTTACGAATCAGGTTATTTCACTCAGAAAAGGTCTTTTCCCCCCTTTTATTAAAAGTAATTACGGACAGCACAGGAGGAAAAATGTGATGTTATAACTGTCAGACATACAACAGACAACACAGCCAAGAGGGCTTAGAGTTTAAATTTTAACAGAAATATTAATGTTAACTTTACAGACTGTTCTTAGGGGTAAGATTCTAAACAAAATCTAAATAATGTACTGCATACTAAAAACTAGAAGGCAGTACTGCACTCGTTGGTATCATCAAACCTTTGTGGAATCAAGAAAATTTAAACAGAGCATTTAGATTATCTGCCATGTGACAAAAATGAATTAGGCCAATAACACTTAAGTTATTGTAACATTTAGATGTTATCTTGGGGGAAGTCCGGAGAGATTAGTGGAGAACATTTAATAGTAAATATCAGCCTATTTGTATGTGAATTTAGAAGAAAAACCCAAAACTCTTACCAACTCTGTCTGGAAGAACTTCAAGTGCTGAAACTCTTTCATCTTTGTGTAGTTCTAGTCCATACACACAGTCAAATCCATCATACTTTATAAGATAGAGAGATGGATTTACAGGAACTTGATCAAGAACTGTGCCCTTCCACTGTGTTACAGGTCCACTCCCTTCTTTCCATCCATGCTGTATTCTGCAGCCTACAATATTTCTTCGTGGCTGAGAAATAGGTTTGCTTGGTCCCACATTGTTTCTATGCTTTCTGTACACAGATACAAACATAATATTAAACAAGTACACACGTATCCAAAATTCTATCCCAGACAAGAGCTCTATGCTTAAGATGATAATATATTTAACAGCTTAATGCACCTTTTTCAAATTAGGGAATAAAGCACATTACACTATTTGGAAAAAAGAAAAACACAGTAAAAGTAGTGAAACATTTTTGATGTACTTTATAAGGTCAGTTTCCTAATAGCTGTTTCTAGAAACAGTTTGCTGAAGCCTAAAGAACTATTTTAGCCTTGCTACACTGAATGTCAAAAGTAAAATTCACCTGATCAGGTCTCAAAGTAGAACATTACCTGGCAGTATTGTAACTTTACTATCTTGTTGCTCTCTGCAGAATAGTAAACACAACTCCTGCCCCAGGAGCAAGGAGTCAATGGAAACATTACCAGTGCCTGACTAAAATTCTTCCAAGGCATTTGTTTTCCCTAACCTGCATTTACCACTGAAGTAAATTTAGCTTTCTTTTGCATTTACAGGTATTTTTGACTCAACTTATTTCTAAACACACATGATAGGAACAACACTTCTTTACTGTTCCTTTTTAGTATAGCAAAAGAAACATGATATGTAACAGTAATGGCAACAGAATGGATACTCTTTAAAGTGGAAAACATTATTTTCATGGAATTTGCATAGGAATTCCCTCTCATGAATAACAGTTGTTCTCATCAACAATCAGACAAACTATTTGACGGTTTCGAATCACTGAAAGTGTTACACAAGTTTTGTTCTACCCAGTTATTAGAAACACTAATTGACAATTTTGAGTACAAATGAAGAAACTAAAGAATGTTATGACAGCATATTGATGACAACAAATTAATATTATATCTATCTAGCATGTTACGTTTAGCACTTACTTATTCCCAAAAAGATTATTTAGAGGGTTGCCTGATAAAAATTGTCATGAATATCAACTAGTTGCAAAATAAATTTTTGGGTTACTACTTGTAGAATACTTCATTTAAATGGCAATAAAATATGCACAACACTAGCACGCTTAAGAGAAAAATCAGTTGCAGAAAACAATAGTCTTCCTTAGATTAGATAGTGATCAAAGAGAAATGTCTCCAGGAATAATGAATGCTCACTGAGGAGTCCCTGTATAATCCAAAAAAGGCCAGTAACAATCAACTATTGAAGTCCTGGAAGCAGACTCACAGAATAATGCACTCATACATCACAATGGAATGTGTAATTCTGAAGATGTAATCATAACTATTAAAAGAAAATGTAAAATTCCTTCAGCAACTTGTCCTGCCTCCAGACTTTCATTCACTGTGAAGATCTTAGCAGGGGGTTTTGTAAAATTTCACTTTTGTTACCATTTGACCTTTCAGCAAGAGAAAACTGCACTTTTTGTATTCCTAACTTTGATAGTACCAGTTATTACATGAACTTCAGTCTTTTCCAGTTAAGAGGCATGCTCCCACAAAGCTGGCTCTAATTTTATGCAGAAACAGGAATGCACTTTCAAATTCTAGTTCTTGCTCGCATATATTTTTTTTAAAATGGTAATAGCCTCAGTAATAGTTTACTATTACAAAATGAGATCAGAAACCCAGTTATCGACAGTAAAAATGTGTTCATTTCGCATGCAATTGATTTGTTTAGTTCTAATGAATCATAATTTCATTCTAAAGAAGAATAAAACCAACTGAAGATAAAAGAAGTTAAAATAGATAAAACAATGTCATTTTTGAAGTTCATCTATGCTGCTCATCATCTCATCGTTGATAAAGGTAAACATAACACTGTTTGTGTTCTACTTCACCATCAATTTTATTTCCTGCCTATAAAGCATAACCCACTTCAATTTTTAAATTGGAACAATTAAGTGTTCCACTCATTCTAAAAAATATGATGGCAAAAAAGCTACATAGAATCATAGAATGGTTGGAGCTGGAAGGGACCTTAAAGACCACCAAGTTCCAATCCCCCTGCCATGGACAGGGATACCTCCCACTAGAACAGGTTGCTCAAAACTCCATCCAAGTCTAGTCTTCCAACACTACCAGGGATGGAGCATCCACAATTTCTCTGGCCAACCTGTTCCAGTGCCTCACCACAATCACAGTAAAGAATTTATTTCTAGTATCTAATTTAAATATGCCCTCTTTAAATTTAAAACCACTACCTCTTGCCCTATCAGTACATTCCCTGATAAAGAGGCCCTCCCCATCTCTCCTGTAGGCTCCCTTCAGGTCTGGAAGGCCGCTATAAGGTCTCCCCAGAGCCTTCTCGGCTTCAGGTTGAACAACCCGAACTCTTTCAGCCTGTCTTCATAGGAGAGGTGCTCCAGCCCTCTGATCATCTTCATGGCCCTCTGCTGGAACCGTTCCAACAGGTCCATGTCCTTCTTGTGTTGAGGACTCTAGAGCTGGACACAGTACTGCAGGGGAGGGCTCACCAGAGCAGAGGGGCAGAATCACCTCCCTTGACCTGCTGGCTATGCTTCTTTTGATGCAGCCCAGGATGCAGTTGACTCTGGACTGCAAGTGCACATTGCCAACTCATATCAAGCTTCTCATCACCCAACACCCCCAAGTCCTTCTCCTCAGAGCTGCTCTTCAGCCACTCTCTGCCCAACTTGGACTTCTGCCTGGAACTGCCATATCCCAGGTCCAGGACCCTGCACTTGGCTTGGTTGAACTTCATGAGTTTTGCATAAGCCCACCTCTCAAGCCTGTCCAGGTCCCTCTGGATAGCATCCCTTCCCTCCAGCATGTTGACAGCGCCACACAGCTTGGTGTCATCAGCAAATTTGCTGAGGGTGCACTCAGTCCCCCTGTCCATGTCACCGACAAAGATGTTAAACAGCACTGGTCCCAGTACCGACCTCTGAGGAACACCACTCATCACTGACTTCCACTTTGACATCAAGCTGTTGACCACAATCCCTTGAGTGCAGCCATCCAGCCGGTTCCTTATCCACTGAGTGGTCTTTCCGATTTAGAGACCATGATGTCAAGTAGGACATTGTCAAACACTTTGCGTAAGTCCAGGTAGATGACGTCTGTTGCTCTGCCCTTGTCTACTAATGCTGTTGCAACACCGTAGAAGGTCACCAAATTAGTAAGGCACAATTTGCCCTTAGCGAAGCCATGTTGGCTGTCTCCAATCACCTCCTTGGAGGATCTGCTCCATAATCTTGCCAGGCACAGAGGTGAGACTGACTGGCCTGTTGTTCCCTGGTCTCCCTTTTTTCCCTTTTTGAAATTGGGGGTTATGTTTCCCCATCTCCAGTCAGTGGGAATTTCACCAGACTGCCACAACTTCTCAAATATGATGGAAAGTGGCTTAACTCAGATTAAAAGCGGGCTTAAATCCGCCCACTCCCTCAGGACCCGTGGATGGATTTCATCAGGTTCTATGGACTTACGCACCTTCAGGTTCCTTAGATGGTCTAGAACCTGATCTTCTCCTACAGGGGATAGTTCTTCATTCTCTTAGCCCCTGTTTTTGCCTTCCATGACTTGGGCAGTGTGGTTAGAGCCCTTACCAGTGAAGACCGAGGCAAAAAAGTGATTCCAGAGCCTTTTCCTGACCAAGCCTCCTGTTTCCTCTCAGAGAGAGCTCACATTTTTCCTAGTCTTGCTTTTATCCCTGATATATTTATAGAAGTTTTTCTCATTATCCTTGATGTCCCTGGCCAGATTTAATTCTATCCGGGCTTTAGCTTGACTAATCTGGTTCCTAGCCACTCGAACAGTTTGTCTATATTCCACACAGTCTACCCATCTTAGCTTCCACCCTCTGTAGGCCTCCTTGTTTTTAAGCTTATCCAGGAGCTACTTGTTCATCCATGCAGGGCTCCTGGCTTTTTTGCCTGACTTCTTTTTTGGGATGCACCTCTCCTCAGCTTGGAGAAGGTGATTCTTGAATACTAACCAGCTTTCTTGGGCTTCTCTCCCCTCCAGTACTTTTTCCCTTGTTACCCTGCCAATCAGGTCCCTGACGACTCCAAAGTGTGCTCTCCTGAAGTCCAGGGTAGTAAGTTTGCCGCGTACCCTCCTTGCTGCCCTAAAGATCTTGAAATCCACCATATCGTGATCACTGCAGCCAAGGCTACCCTTGAGCTTGATATTCCCCACCAGCCAAATTCATATTACAAGAAATGAGATTTTCAAAGTAGTAAATTACCAAGGAATACCTACGTCTTGCATCTGAACATGTAGTAAAAAAGTAAGCATAGGTTTCTAACTATCAATAAATAATAGCTATGCATATACTTCCATGTCAGACAACCAAGTAACCAACTCAAACCTCATGTCTTCAACAAGAAGGTTATTTCTGTGATACACAAAGTAGTACTAATGTACATAAGCTTCTAGGTTGCTATATACAGAAGGCCCAACATTTTTTTTTCCTTTTGTTTTATTGAAATGTTTAAAATTTCACAAAGATTTGCTCTTGAAGATTGGATAACAATTTTCCTAAATGTATAAAACATGAAGCCAGGAAAAACAGAAAATAGCACGTTCTGGAAATAGCTCCTGACACATCAGACACATCCTCATAGTAAATTGCCCTTCAGTCCCCCAAAGTTTCAGATCCTCTTCCTTATCTTGAAGGCAGAAGCTGCTAAGTAAAACCTAGTTATGTGTAAACTGTATTTATTTCATTATCAGAACCAGATACTTTAGAAGCTTTCTAGAGACTACACAAGCAGAAAGAAGTCTTCCCAGATTTTGAAGTTGCATTTATATGGTCCTCACACAAACTTTTATTTGGCAGTGCTACCAGGGAAACCAATGGAGTGCAGAACTGCATAAGACCAGTAGTACAAAAATCAACCGTTACTTTAGGGTTATGCTTAAAAGACAAACTAGCATTTATAAAAAGGAGAATGGCAATTCCCAATAACCTATTAAGTAAAGTTATCCATTTTGGTTCGGTTGTTGGTTTATTGTTATTGTTGGGGTTTTTTGTTTTGTTTTTTTTTTGTTTGTTTGTTTTTTGGGTTTTTTTTGTTTTTTTTCTGACCATCTCATCTCAGAAAAACACCACAGGGTAGAACTAATGAAAAAACAAGAAGGGTGAAAGAAAAACATAACCCTCAGATGTACAAAAAAGGCAGAACTGTGAAAAACAGGAAGGAAAACTATAAAAATGTAAATGCAGTACAGCAGCAACGTTCGGTACAATTTGAAGTCTTTCATCATGCCACACAGAGAAATAATTCCCAAAATGTATTACAATTGTGATCTTATTACAGACTATCATTAATAGAAGAATGGTCATGAGAGAATTGTTATCAAATGCTTTTCACAATATTCAGACTATGAGGCACAGTAGTTGAGGCAAAAGTTTTAAATGTACTTTCTGCATGCCCTCAAAACCCATCATACAGTTGTGAATTTCATCTCCAGATGCTGCAGGAATCAAGATTACAAGTTAGATTAAAGTGGGATCAGAAATTCAAAACAGTTAAGTTCACCTGTAGTTTAATTGCAGGTATAACCTGCACCTCAAAGTCCCTGAATTGACAACTATGAGAGATCTGGAGAGCCTATGAAGACAGGATTCTTTTATACTTACATTACTTCTTGTACTCTTTCCTTATGCACCAAAGCTGGAAAGAATGAGATCTGGGAGATAACTGACTGATCTGATGCCAGCGAGGTCATTTTCACATTAGCAGAGATCACCACCACTCACTGACAAAGCACTTGGAAGAACAGGGGAGCCCTTTCCAGAAGGCTCAACACTTACTACCATTAGAAGTTCAGAAGATTCATCCACACTGCTCATTTTATCACATCCTCAATTACTAAAGGCATGCCCTGTTCTACCCTCTTGGCTCCCTCCTCTGCCACAAACTTTCTGAAGCTAGTTTAAAATCTCCTAAATGGCCTTTGAGTGCCAGTAGGCTTGTTCCTCTTTTATTTTATATGAAGAGTAACTAAATAAATAACTAAATCAGTGACAAAGTATGTATTACTAACTTATAGTCTACCGTAACAGCTCAGAGCAGTACCAGCATATACTATTACATGGTCATTCATACCCTACTTGCTTATGGGAAAGTACTATGGTCCACTGCTCTGTCTCATTCTCAGAAAAGTCAATGAGCAGCACACAATAAAACCTTTGCTAATTAATTAATAAACAATTAAACTAGGCTAAATTAACATAAAACTAAGGAGCATAAAACTAAGTTAAATGCCTCAAAAGCATGTCTCTTAGGATCAAAACTTCCTATGCTCCATAAAAACCTTTATGCTCAGAAATTTACAGCCTATTTAGGTATTTTAAAAAGTGTATAATACCACAACAATAAAGACAAATCTAGCCACCCTCAAGTACAAAAGGCAACCCACCTCTGATAGTCTTCCCATCATACACTCCTTTCTCTGAGCGGTTGAAAGAGAACAAGAGAAATTAAGTTTTAACCAACTCTACCTGTCCCTATACAAATAAATGTTTGTCTTTGCCTGCTATGAATATAGACAAAAATGGATAATGATGAGCTGGTGGAAAGAATTAGAATAGTTTTACATCAGGTGTTCTCTCTGAGAAACAGTTAACACTGTTAGCAGTTATTAACTACATTAATCGCAGAAAATACAGCTGCCAAACAAATTGCTTTTGATTGATGCACCACTATACGAGTTTACACTTAAAATACAACTAGGATTATTTAAATAAGTTTCACACTTGCTCAGCTTAGATTTCTCTCACCAGAGATGTAGCAAGATATGGTATCTCGCTGTTGGACACTAAGACAAATTATCACCTGAACATTACCTCTATTTTCACCCAGCTACTCATCAGTGTTCAGCTGCTACTATTTAAAAATGTTGTAGAGGGAAAAATACATGTCATATATGTGTAGTATAAACAGGTATCCTTCACACACAAATAGCAGACTCTTTACAGAAGTATTTCAGTATATTCTTTATTTTAGAAAGGTGAAAAATCCTTTTCGAAACTACAGTTGTAGTGAATTCAACATTAGGTATTTCTAAAATTATTTCCTAATATAACTCAGACTGGGTTATCAGTAAGCATGCTTTGCAGTTTTAAATGGCCTGGTGACAACGCATGAACTCTGTGCCAGAGAAGAGAGATCCTACAGTACAAGTGGCTAATTTCTGGCTCCCAAATCCTTCTCTCTGAATTCCAGAAAGAACTACACAATTGCATTCAAGGATAATTTCATATTAACAGTAAAAATAATGTTTAAAACGCTATTTTGGGGGCATTCTTTCCTACCACTCTCCTGAAAGAATCAGTTGTCTGACTCTACACACATATACAGACTGAACATTATTCCACACGATTTTCAAAAACAGAGTGAGTGGAACAATACTAGATATATGTCCACAACAGTACTTCCAGTTACTGAGAACTATACTTTAGTAAAAATAGTAAGTAAAAATACTTACTTGTGGGAAGTTCTTTTCTTCATCATGCTGGCAGACACTCCTGCATGACCTACAGCATAAATGAAGATGGTATTATTGAAAAATAAAGCATTTATACAATGCCAAAAAAAACAACTTATACAAGTCTTCCTTTTAAATGTTAAAATGTAAAGAAACAAACCACTTTGTGTTATGACTGATCAATTAACTGCCACAATGGGAGAATGCTTGGCAGAGACAGGCACAGGCTACATGCTGGTGAAGCTCAGGGTTGAACAGGAGTGATTGACCACAAGCATTAAAAAGAAAGAGGAACTTAACACTACAGGGGCCTGTGTGATCTTTGTTCTAGGAAAACAGCTGTAACAATTGAGATAATTAATCAGCTACAACAGTTAAGTGAATCAGCTAGCTGTGTAACTTTTCATCCTTGAATTAATCAAAAAGGTGCAAATATACGTCTTCCTGAGTTAGCCAGACCAGCACTGGGGAATTATACACACATCTCAGCCCAAACAACATACAGAAACTGAACAATGAATAGAAAGAGCTTTGAGAAGAGTAACAGGCTTAAGCTAGCTTGAACCCATGTATTCCTTCCCAGAAACTGGGGACACCCAGTGCTGTGACGCTGAGTATGTTACAGAGACCAGCAAACAGAATCACACATGTACTGAGATGCAATTGCATATTGCAATGGTTATATTCTAACTAAGTACTGGTGGTTTTATGCTTGTAACATTCTGCTAAATCAAAACTATAGTGCAATATCAAAAAAACTTTTAAAAGAGAGAAGTTATTAAAACATTAAACCCTCTTTGTGAGCAATGTGTAAGAGAACCTAGTCAGGACAGTACCAGACTCTTGATACTAACTAGTGCCATGGCCATGACAGTCTGTGACATAATACGGTGAATGTTATCTACTAACAATTCAAGAATACTGGGAACTCTGATTTAGCACTTGAGTCATGAATAAGAGCCTAAGAGAGGTGACTTGCACTGTGAGTTAGGAAAAGTAGTGAAAAGATTGTCTGCAGACAGGCCCCTTACTGTTTAGAAGATGGAAAACATTGTGCATGCTAAGAAAGGCTGGAAAAAGCCAGCTGATATATTTGAAAAAGAGGGATGGAGAAATCCTAAGTAGGATTTTTCATGGATAGAAAGAAGAACATTGCTCTGATCCCAGTGATATTTTGGAATGAATATGAAAAATGGAAAGCTTCTACTAAGTGGGAGAGAAGGAAACGGGAAAGCAGGCTCGTGCTGGGTGTTAGAAAACTACTTGTGAGCATTAGTAAAGTCAGCAGTGGAGATATGCAAGAATGAAATAGTAATAGAAAAAAGTTACAGAAGAGAACATGATGTCTAAAAGGTGATATGCACAGCCAGAAAAATCAAAATAAGTTCTTAGAATGAAGACTGCAGCCTCAGATAATATCCAATTCCCACATGTGATGACTTGTATGGATGACTTACTTCTGTGAGCATACTGGAGCTGCACAAGAACTTGGGAAAGGACACAACTGGGACAGCTGACCCCAACTGACCAAAGGGATATCTCAGACTATATGATGTCATGCTCAGCAAAAAACCTGAGGGGAGGTTGGCAGGGGGAGGACTGCTGCTCAGGGACTGGCTGGGCATCAGTTGGTTGGTGGTAAATGATTGTTTTTCAATTGCATCACTTGTCTTTCTTGGGTTTTATTTCCCTCTCTCATCTAGGTTTGTTTTTTTCCCCTCACATTTTCTTAAATTATTATCATAATCTCTTTTTAACTATTCATCTGTTTTTACCTCAACCCATGAGGGTTTTTTTCTCCTCACTTTTACCTTTTCGATTCTCCCACCCTCCCACCAGGGGATAGGGGGAAGTGAGCAAGAGGCTGTGTGTGGTGCTTAGTTGCCACACACGGCTGAACCACAGCACTCGTGATGATTATTCACACTATCCAGGAAAAGAATGTTAACTTTAAATTGGCTGCTCCCATGATAAAATTTGAGCAAACATCAGATGCACCCCTTTGTGAGACAGTTTATCATTTTTGAGTTCGCTAACTGATCTCCAAACTAAATTTTCCGCTAAACCAGTAGATAAACCCCCAGAATGGATGACCTGTTTATGAGGAAAAGGAGCAAATCAGGTTATTCCCATCATGGAGGAAGCTCAAGGTTTAGTACAAAGGACTAGGGATTCTCCTACAAACCCTGCACTGCAACAGGCAGACTTGCTGTGGGAGTGTACTGTCTGCTGGGCCAGGCAGCTCCTACCAGCCACTGGGGAGGGACGAAGGGCAGGCAAGGGAGACAGTGGTGGAAGAATACTCAAGAGTTACAAATTTACATGCTGAATCTGATATCTTAGACAAGCTGGACAGATCCAAGCCTGTAGGACAGGACAGGCAGCCACCAAGTCTCCTGGCTGTTACACCGCAGAGAAGCTTGGTCAGTCACAGCCCAACCATGTGGGTTTTTACCGGATTCAGGACAAAAGACAGCATGCGGTGGCTCATACCCCAGAGGCCACTGTGACAGTGGCAATTTCTATATTATGATTGTGTCGTGATTTCAATATATTGCTCTGCAAAATTAGCATGCCACGTAATGTTGAATATCTGCAACTGGTATCAAAACGTTACACCCTTCTTGCCTGCAATATCTAGAGCCTGGTCAGAGTGCTGGACTGACATGTGCAACTCTAATGTCTTATGTATATGTTGAAACATGCCCAGAATTTCAACTATGGATACTAAAATTAACACCTGCAGAAAAATACTAGAGCTGCTCTATAGGTCTAAAGCCAGTTATTTTAAATTTACATTATGTGCATGTCCCAAGCATAAGTTTGGAATATATATGTTGAATCCTTCCATGATGGTAGTAGCTTCACAGAAGAGAGTGAAGCACTAGAAGTACCCTTAACCTTCAGAGTCTTCACAAATATTTTAATCTTTGTATATTCATGTAAAAAATTAAAAAGAATGTATGAAAAGTTACAAAAATGGCAGAATTAAAGTAATGTTACATCTTATGTACAACACTCAAGCTCCTGTAAAATCCTCAGGAACCTGCATTTCAAGCTGCAATGATATCTGGAATGTTTGGGTTTCAAAAATTAAGCCTTATATGCCAGTTACTAAAGTAAAGATCCTATTTCTAATTTTTGACTGACCAAATAACTAAACTGCACGCTTATAAGAATTATTAGCTGGAAATGAAAAAACAGCTTGATTTGAAACCCAAAAGCCTCTGGGACTTGACTATAACCACAAAACAAGCTTTCTGATAATATTGTCAGCTACCTCTTCTGTGCATGTTTTCTTAATACATAATGTAATAAACCATCTTTTATTCAAAATATGGTTTTATTAAAATCCAAATATTTAGAAAAAGAAATCTGTTGTAATAAAGTATAGGAATTGCATCACCAAAACACGAACATGCATTTTGTTTTACATTACTGGCTGATGAGACGACGTAAGACTAGCTACATCAGCTCATCTAGTTAAAAACATTACAGAAGTAACACCCACATATTCTTCAGAATGGTTTGGTACAAAACTTGCTTTCTGTCCTCTGCTCAAGGACTCTGTACTTGTGCATAGAAGGGAAGTCCAAAGTCTTTCTTTTTAGTCTTTTCAAAGTAAAGAACAGGAATTCTAGACTTACTACAGAAGCTGCAATAAACAAAAAGGACAAGCTATGCAAACCTCTGGGAATGGGTGTTTGCCCCGTACGCTAACTTCTCACCTTCAGAACCTCGAATTTTTGATAGGATTCAACTTGATCTTTGGAGTGAACTCCAATCCAAAGCCAACTAAAATGACTAAGAACTGCTCAGCTTCTTATGTCAGTCAGTACCTTAGTTATCAATCTGAGAGCTATCTTAAGTAATGGCATTTGGGTGTCTAATACAAATGTAACAAGCTTTCAAGAAGACAGGATAGCAAATATTTGGAGATTCTAGGACAAACCCGCTCCTGTACTGACTATAAGCCAGAACACACCTTTCCATTTTGCACTTTCTGAATTCAGTAAGGCCTCAAGGAGATGCAAACTCCTTTTAAAGACATCTCAGATTACACGATTGAATTGTGTTATTTCACTTGGCCAGACAGTTGCAGAAATTGTGGAGTTCACTGAATCATGAACATTTCTGTCCCCTGCAGCAGTCCAAAATAGGGGGATGGAACAGCACAGAATTCTTACACTTAGCATATTCTAATAATAAGGTCAAAATCAGAATTATCTGGTAAATCTCCTTGCTTGAATCTTTCTTTGACCGCTCCTTCAGCAATTCTACTGCTACTGAAAGCTACAAGAACTCTATCAGCTATTCATAGTATCAAAGTTTAATATCATCTGGAGTTTGGAGTTTTATCTAAACTTCGAAGAGGAGGATGGCACAGAGAGAGTGAAGTGTTCAAGACGTCAACAGTACTGCCTTGTTATTTATTTTTACTTGGGACAGCATCTTCCTTACTGCTAACAAGAGATACTTAAATAGCACAGCTATAATCCTTACAATCTTCAGTGGGGATTGTGAAATCAAGACAATTAAAAAAGCCAACTTTAGCAGTTCATGCACATGTAACAGTAACACAGCTTGACATAGCAGTGCATTGCTAAACACACATCCATGCACCATCCCCCACCAGACCACACATTTCATTACTGGCTTCCCTTTCAGACACTGAAAAACAAGGATGGTGTCCAGGCAAAATGGTAGTAACACACTCTAACTGTTTCAAGATGCTTTTTCTTGCATTTATTATCAAACGTATCCAAACCAAAGCAATGATTCAAAGTAACTGCTGTAAGAATTACAGGCATTTTTCATTGTTATTATCATTATTATTATTAGCAATAATAATAATAATAATAATAATAAAAGTAAATGCAGCTTAGGAAACTAGTTCCACATTTGGAGACCGTGTATACTACATAACACTGTAACCCTCAAAATTGTACCAGTAAGATATACAAACTTCTACCTGTTTAACAGCAGCATGTGAAAGACCATTTCCCTAATAGAAGCTTACACTAAAGTCCAGCAATGGCACAAAAAGAC